ATATATACGTATAAATAAGATAAATGTTAGATGAGATGCATGCATCATAATTATGTATACAAAAAGTTGAATAGATGTGCTGATGTATAGATAGATGAATATATATATGGACAGACAGGCAAGCAGTCGGATAAACGTGCAGATGCACCCCTATCTGCTGAAAATATTGATATTTATTAGTTGAGGGGGAAATAAATAACAATATATAATTAGGCATATGGATGCATGAAAAGCCAGACAGAAAGTCATATAGAGCTATAAGTGAACGGGTGGATTAAGGTATGAATGCGTAACTGACTTTGATGTGGGAAGTCTGGATAGATTGATGGAAAATCTAAAGAATAAGTGATAAGTGAAGCGATCAATTAAATGTAAGACGATCGAGGGGAGGGCATCATTGCCTGATGAACGCGATGGAAAAGCGTTCTACTCTGCACAGAAATGCATAATGGCATAAATATAATGTGCACAAATGACGAACTGGCTCGCATACCTTTTGGGTAATCAGATGTTTATAATGGGAGATCTGGCTGGAAGATACCAATAAGCAAATGCGATATATTGTAAGTGGAGATATAGACAGAGAGAGCGTATGGTTTGAATGACTGATGATGGCTGAATAAAGGAATTAGTAAGAAGGTCAAAAGAGGCAAATTTTAAAGAGGAGTCTGGGTTACGATAAACCGAGCAGCAAAAGAGCAAGAATGGATGGAGGCAGATAAATCTGATTGGAAATTGAAGGAGAGCCGAACCGATGCAGAAAAAGATAGACTGTTTTGGAGAACATGCAGAGTCGTGTTGACGTTGAGGCTGAGAAAATAAAAAGCAAGTGGATGGAGTCGCGAAGGTTGGAGCCGGCGAGGCGAAGCTGTTTCACTCCCCGTTGGCTAACTTGGGCAAGTCTTCTCCTTCACGATCAATGATTGAATGTTTTCCCTCGGGAAGGACGGAAAATCTTTAAATTGTCAGTTTTACTCACCTCGGCGACACTGCAATCATCAGCAGGAACGGCTATCAACACGCTAATTGCTACCCTGACAGAGATATGACAAACTCGAGGCTCATATGCTAAAACGTTTTGCTCTGAACAGGAGATGAAAATAAAGCCAATCTTAAGAAGAAAGACTGAAAACAGAAGTAAATTTGTAGAAAAATGTGCTGCAGAATGGGAGAAAGGAGAGAAGAGAAAATGGGGCTAAAATGACCAAATTGGGTTCCATAGCATGCGATCTGTTTCCCAGCCTTCTCCCTACCCTCGTTATAAGAAGGAGCCTGGCTTTGCGATAAGTCAACACACGTCTCCGTCATCACTGCCCTGTCTCATAAACACACTAGGACAGTGGCAATGAAGGAGTAAAACAGTCCAATCAGAGTTCTCGTGCCCAATGCACTATTCAGTTGGTTCAAGTTAGGCTTGGCTCTAGCTCCTCCTGACAGGCCATACTGTACCAGCTGAGAGTGGGAGAGAAGCGCTGGACACGAGTCTATTGGCAAAAGGGTGGGGTGTAATTTAGTTCCCATTTTCTCGTGTGAACTTCATTCACCTCATGCCATGGTGGATTGAAGTATGCCAAACAATATTTGGAGCATAATTATTTGTAAGTAGAACAGGGGTATTGTGAAGATTCCACTGTGGTGTCTTCTCTGGTGAAGAAGTTTTCGTAAATAGAAATGTGAGATATGAAGAAAAACTGGGTTTCGAAAAATACCCTATTAAATTGATACTGGCGTAACTTTCATTTCCTTAGAGAAAGCGGATGGAGGGGACTCGTAGATTGGCCGCACCGGATACCGAATGAGGGTTGCCTTGGACTTTTGGACGTTGAATTGGACAAAGGAGACCTCAGATGACCGCACTTCGACCCCGATTACTCTGTGTTTAGCTTTCGCTTTCTTTGCACAATTCAAAAGATAAAAGTCTAAGGTAACCAACCCTCTTCGGTATCTGGTGAGGCCAATCTATGAATACCTTCCAGCCACCTTCTCAAACGAAATGAAGGATATGCCAGT